AATACAAAATACCTACTTAAATTTTATTTAAACTTACTAAAAAACTTAATTTTACTTCTACTCAAACTAGGTAATGAGTGGATTAAGGGCGTCAAAAAATCTTAGATCATATTATATCCTTATCTATAATCTAATCAGTAATACGGTATAACAGCGGTTTCCAACCTTTTTAGTAGTGCGGACCATTAATTTCTTAAAAAATTGTTGAGGCCCATCAATAGTTATATATGTATAATGTGCACATACATCAGTTATTACAATTTATTTATTAAAAAACAATTGTTTATCAAAAAGTAGAACTTCATTGAACCAGATTATTCAAGAGTTAAAGAATTTAATGTAATTTTGGATTGTTCCCCACGAGAGAATCAATATTTGGATTAAAAATGAAAAGTTTTAGCCTTAAATCACTCAAAATTCAATTTATTCCTACATTTATTTTTTAAAAAGTAGAAAAAGCTCGTTCACACAGACACATAAGTTGTCGAAATATAGCCCACCAAGTTTCTAAGTAAAATTTTAGAAATAGCTGGAAAGTCTTGCCAAATATTTAACTAGAAGAGTAATAATGGTGTATTTTTAAAAACTGATTTTAGGGTCTGATCACATGAGAGTTCAATCAACGAATCTTTTTCACTTGCTGATATTTAATATTTTAAAAATATATGTAAGTAATATATATATAATATAGTTCACGGCCCAGTACCACCTGATCATGGCCCATGGATTGGGAACCGCTACGGTATAAGATAGTAGGAGATAACATATTTTAGGAGTGTCGGCTAACTATTATACGCGTTCCCTACATTAATGTTACGGAAATTTCGTACGAACTCGATGGTCGTCCGTAATGGTATCGTTCGTTTTTCGGTAATTAACGAATCGCACGTCACGCTAGCTTAAGGAGACGTTGTCGTCCTGCATTGTACTTGCAAGCGTCTCAGTACGAGGTCTGCGGAATGTTTAACCACATCGTCCGGTTCAATGTGGTTTACGGTAACTGCAACACGCGTATGGAATGCGCATCGCTGGGATTCGTTTTTTCATCTTTTGAAAAATTTTTATTCGTTTTCATACTTACCGCGAACGCAGACGATCGTTTTCACACTGTCTTGCATATAATTGGGAAACGTTTTTTTTTTTTATTTTCCTTAATCCGTGTACCCGATGTTGCACGATGTCTCGTAAAAGGAAATACGGTGTACATTATTTTTTGTGTCCCGTATATTATTGTAATCCGTACATGCAGTCGCTACAACGTAATATATTTTTAAGTAAAAAAAAAAAAATGGATCCTAAGTACCAGCAATGGTCGAAAGTTCTTGAAACACTCAATAGACCGCAGATACGCTGCATTACCATGTAAATCCTTCGAAAGGCATTACGTTTCACGGAGACGATTTTCAAATATCCCGTATACGTGTAATGTATAAATTTGTTCGTGGTAAAATAAAAAATCTAGTTCTTGTTATACATAGTAATAGTCGTAATAATAACAATTATGTTTATACGACGCGGTAGAGTACATTACGGATTGTGTCTCGTGCGTCGGAGTAACGTAACAGAAACACTAATCGACTAGAGTTTTGCGATCAGAAAAAAAAAACGAATACTATTAAATGGTTCGAAGAAACAGGTGCGGAAACTTAAAATGGTTGAATGTTATGTTACGATGGCCGTTTTCAGAGCCGGTAGTATCATAGGTAGAAGGACTAGCTAGAAACTATTATGGTGTGTATGGTTAGCAGCGGAAGCAGAACAACGATATGGTCTTATTTATATGAAAAACTGAATAGAAGCGTTGAACAAGCCAGTAAAAAAAAAAGGTGAAATCCGGATTGCCCACTCTACCGATCCGATCACTGGCCAAGTAATAAAACACAATAGCCAATAAATACACGATTTTATGGTTACAGCAAACTGTTTGTTATTCAAATACACATGCATTCAAATATACAGTGTTCAAACGTCAAAATGTAAAAATAATATTTTTTTATGCACAAAAAAACAATGCATACCTAAACAATGAAGTATAATTGGGGCATGTACCAGTTGCCCCCAAAAGTACATTTTTTTATACCAATTCTCCCCAAATTACCTAGAGCAAAATGTACCAGTTGCCCTCAATCAAATGTACCAATTGCCCTCACATGTTAATATATACACGATTACAATATATAGCCTGTAAAATAGGGGAGGTAAATATACAAATTATAATTAAAATTATTTATAAAATAATGTAAGATAGTATAAAATGATAAAATCAAATTTTGATATTTGCAATTATATATGATATTGTATTTTGTAATAAATAATAAATATAATATATTATACAAATAGTATGGATAAAATGAAAATTGTAATAATTGAATAATAACCTACTACTAGGTGCAAAGCCAGGATTTTACAAAAACGTAAATTTAGACGCGTCTAAGTGGATAGCCGATTTATAACGATGATATTAACGACAATTATATTACGCTTTATCGGAATACACTAGTTATTATCATTTATTAAACCTATCTTTATTAGTAGTTTTTTTTTTTTGTTAGACATTATTATATAATACGATGTATACCTATATATATGTCTTTGATAGGTACATTTTAGTAGACGAAAAGCACTGACGTTGTTAACACGATGGAAAATATTACGCGAGTGTATAGTGAAAAGGGCAATGTTTTGTTAGTTTTAAATAATTATACTTTTTAATTTTAATTATTATTTTATTAACTTTTTCATATTATATGATGTGTACTACGATTTATATTGAATTGTTTTATTTCTATCGTTATAATTTTCATTTTATCTATACTATTTGTATAATATATTATATTTATTATTTATTACAAAATACAATATCATATATAATTGCAAATATTAAAATTTTTTCATTATTTTATACTATTTTACATTATTTTTATAAATAATTTTATTTATTATTTGTATATTTACCTCCCCTATTTTACAAGCTATATATTGTAATCGTGTACATATTAACATGTGAGGGCAACTGGTACATTCAGTTGGGGGCAACTGGTCAACACCCCTATAATTGATACCTAAAAAAAAAAATTACTACATTGGAAGTGAAAAAATAGCAGGTATACTGGGGAATTTGTTATTTAAAATTATTTGAAAAATTTTTGAAATAAATAAAAGTAAAAATATCTCTGAAAACACAATATTTTATAGAGCAAAACTCGTATCCTCGAAAATGATAATAATGGGTATCCATAATACTTTGAAAATGTTATGTTTAATAATATAAAACGAAAACTGAAAAATCAAATAAAACGATTCGTATGTTAATGATGCATATACCTTTCGTATGATAATGTATTGATTCGTTATTTATTATTGGGATGGGGATTATATTACATTTTGTATTGTTTTCAAAAGCTTTCTATACGATGATCGTATTGTTACAAACTTGTTTGGTATACATTTTAAAAAGAATTTAAAAGTAAATATAAAATTTGTTGACAATTTGTTAGACTTTTTGATTTCAAAGTCATTTTATTCACTTTTTTAGAACTTATTCTGGTTTTATAATGAATTTTTAGAGTTTTCGAATCCGAAATTCTGTTGAAATTTTATTCAAATATTTATCCACGCTTACATGTATACGAGTAAACACAACGAGTGTAAAGTCTATTCGTTTTATATTATCGTACAAGGATGGTTCGTTGTTTTATCGTTGGTTATGTAGAAACCTAACCAAACATTTAATTTTTAATCAATTATACTAAAATCATCTCCAAATTAAGTATAAAAATACAAGGGTATTTCTTATATGAATTATTTAGAATTATGAGAACAAAATAAATTAGTATATTTTTTAACGTCATATTTCAGGGTTTTGAAAATGGTTAAATGCCCAGCCTGGATTATTATGATTTTATGTCGTCCTATGCTGACACGGTAAACAGAGGTTTTGATTAGACTATTTGACGGGGTTAGGGGAGTCGATGATTTAAAATTTTTAAGCGTTTATAGATATTTTAATACCTTTGCTAGAACTTCGATGGGCGTCGCAGCAATTTCAAGTTCGGTTTTTGTACCATTGAACGGCCTTATAATCCGTTTGTTCACCATCGTCTGAGAACTTGTACCTCATAAAATGCACGTTTTCTCGTAACCCTTCAATATTTGACTGATGCGATGACAACAATTACAAAATTAATATTTCAGCAAATCTTATGATGACATACAACTAACAACACACGCCGATCACACACTAAGTCTGGATGTTAACTACCGTGTGACACGTGAGGCCACATTAAATGGACCCGCTATAACAGTGGACGATTAAAAAAAAAAAAAAAAAAAAAAAAAAAAAAAACATTAATTGTTCTGCTAGTACGAATAATTAGAAAATAACGAGAACATAATTATTGTGTAGTGGCGTTGGAAAAAACTTAATCGGCAGTGTTGGGTTAGTTACTTTAAAAAAATTAATAAATTACTTTACTCGTTACTCATTACTAAAATTTAATTAAATTACATTACTTTTTAATAGAAAATAGTGTTTGATTTTATATAGTTGTAATATCCTGTTAACCAATATCTATTTGTATTTTTTATCGTTAGGATATCTATTTAGAAAAATATCTTGTTCATATTTTAGTGAAATTATTAATATAATACTATTAAAAAATGACAAACGACTCTTTGTATTTATTTATATTATTTATTTTTATTTATATCAATTATATTTATTTAATGTATTCGAATACAAATGTTCACGCGACTTATCATTTTATTTGATTAAAAGTATAATTATATACGTATAAATGTATTTCTTTATTAAAACTTTGTTTAACAATTAGTTTTGAATATTAGGTAACGAGTTACATATGAGGTACAACATAAAATAGAAGTTACTTACAAAGAGAAAGAGGAGAAATATTAAATTAAACTATAAGCCTAGTTAATAAAATATTATATATTGAATACGATGTTCATCAATATTAATAATTAATATTGTATTGTTTCAGAACTTGAAAAATCAGATTATGACCACCAATCTATGGGTTGAACAGGTAAAGTTTGATGAATATTACGATACTTCAGTAGAATATGCATATTTTCACGTTTCTCTTCAAAAACATCAATACTGATGAGATTTTTTTTTCTTTTTTTTGAGTACGTGTCATTATCAGAGTGTGCGAAATTTCAAGGATCATCGAACACCCAACGTTTTATCGAAACACCACGTAATTTACATACTTTTATTTAAAGCCAAGATAATAAATTAAATAAATGAATAAAATAAATTATTATAAATAATATATAAAGAGTACATACAGTGGCATATTTCCAAAGGTTTCCCGGATCTCGATCTCCCCAAAAAAAAAATGAATGTTCAAAGTCATAAATCACACGCTATAAAGGTATAGAGTAAGAAAACATTAGTTAATATAATGTGATTGTAAATACGAGTAACTTCATTTGTATTTATAATAATAATAAAATAATACAATTATTAATTCATACTTTATACTTATTTACTATAATATTACAAGATTATTTTTTTCTTAGAAAACTTTAATCCTTGCCACGAGAAATTTGAAAATACGCCACTGCATATATATATGTACTATAATTCAATGTTCTGTACACAAAATCATCTTTTTTTTTTTAAAAAAAAAAGATGCTTATTTTAAATAATAATAATTGTCGATAAATTTTAAACCACTAAGTTGTGGCGTTGTCAAACGTTTTAGTTTGTAATTCAATTTGGCATAAACGTTATGAAAAACAAAAAAATAGTATCCCGGAGACTAATAAAAATTGTGAGATAAATAAATGCAATATAAAAAGTAAGTTGGAATAAATATATTTAACTAAAAATGCTGACATACATACTGAAAACTTTAATAATAAAGTATAAGATTTTGCATAGTTTCATATATGAGCAAAACAAAAAGAAAGGCATTTGGACTATATTCATAGCACTACTTATATAAGTAAATAATTAATTTACCCGTTCGAATAATAATCATTAAATACTTAAAATTAAGAAATTAAAATTATAATTAGAAAATTAAGAAGAACGAATTATTAAATTACTATAATAAACGTTGAAATTATATTTTTCACTCAGTCTTCTTATTTACATTTAGTTCACAGGGCAAGTCCACTGATGTGTTTATAGTCATAGATATAACAAAGTATAGGATAATATGAAATACCATTGAGATTTTGACATACCATTGTTTTTGACTAAACTCTATGTCTACATATGGATAAATGCACAAGTTTAATTTTAGTAAATACGATGATTATAATAATATATATTAAAGTGTTCGTGTATATTGTAGTTTCCAAGGGACGGTTGTATATACTATATTTTCTAAGGGAAGGCTGCGGAGACTATTGAATGTCGTATAAGTCTATAGAAATAGTAATTTTCGTTATTAAAATATAAAGGGTGAAATTTGCATGAACCGCTTGGGCGCATACGGTTTGCCGAGCATAAAGACCGCTATATTATTCCGCGACGCATTGCGCCGCGATGTTTACCTAATAAAGATATCACGCTCGTGCGGAAATTAATGAACTAAATTTTCTCATAAATTAAACTTAATAATATAATACATAGTCAAAACTTATTAGAGATAAAGAGAGAGATTCCTTGCGGTTATCAAAACGATAGCGTCTTGTGCGCGTGCACATATTGTATGTGAATTACAATGTACGATTACCGAAACAGCGAACGGTCGATTAGGAAGGAATGCAGTGATAATATTTTAATTTAATACAAATACATTACAATAAGCGTAAGCTTTACTGTGTCAGTTTCGATGTCTATTCGCCTGTGTTTGTGTGTGCGTAATATGGATGAGTCTTAAATTACATCACATATCTAAATGATACGTGATAAGAAAGTAGACTTTATCAGTTGACCACGCCGATAGCATACGTCAACATATACATGATATGCATATTAAATTATCTTATGAGAGTCAGCGATCGGAAACTTCATGAGTAGATCATCATTGTACTTATGGCATTGACGAATCAATGTTCCGAATGTTTAAACGAAAGAAATTAAATATTTCAAAACTATTTAAATATTTGTACTCAAACTTATCGGTTATTTCTGCTTGTTATTGATTATGTCTATTATATAATGTGTGAATTGTATTTCTTCAATTTAATTTTTACGACGGTGATTTATTGCCTTGATATGAAATTTAATTTTCAAAAGTCGACATTTAAAAGTAAATATAGAATCTTCATTGTATATTTTCTTCAAATTTACCAGATTTAACTGTCAGACTGTTATATTGTTATATATACGTCAAAGTCAAAAATGTGGTATGTATAGCGAGAGAATCAAAATTACACGTTCATAAATGAAATAGCATTCCTAGTGAAATCGTCATTCGCGTACGCGCTGTATTATCGCACACACATGTATTTAAAATGTTCACGCTTATTTATTATTATATCTGTGTCAACAACTACGATTCTTTTTTTTCACGCATCATATCAAAAATGAAAAATCACTGACTCAAACTCTTCATCGAACGCTCGAAACTTCGAGGGTCCCACGGTTAGATAACAAAAATTTTAATTAATCTGAACACTCGTTCCGTGTAATATCATTACATAACCGAACGCGGCCGTCAATGACGGCTGCCAATACGTCCGATAATCGTCCACCGATAGCACCCATTAAAATATCAAATAGCTATTCTATCGCAAAAATAACAACAAGCTCCCAAAACGATAATTATACAAATGAAACTGATAATGACAGCAACCACTGCTTAATAACCTAACCTGGTTTATCTCCCAAACTAAAACAATCTACCTCAATCCAGCTTAAACAACTTAATGGGTACTCTGTGCTTAGAAATTCAGTAGATAATGATATGGAAACTAATCAAATTAATTCGAATTCGAATGAAACAAAAATCCATATACCATCGCCTATATTTATTAAATCTAATAACGAATGTTCAGAATATTCGAGTACTAAGATTTTTGTGATGCGATAAAAAAAAAAAAATTATTCAAATGAGTTCTTTAGTAAAAGTAATTTAAATTAATTAGAATTACAATAACACACTACCGACTCATATCAAAAAGTTATGTATTTATTGAAGGATAAAAATGAAAACTTTTATACATATTAAACCCAACAGAAAAAATCATTCCATATAGTGATTTGCAATTTACATCACAAAACCGATGAAAACTTCATAAACAATGATCCAAAAGCCCATGGTTATTTAGCTATTAAATTATTAGCAACAACTGATAAGGAAAAAGCAAATATTTTTGACTCCCAATTAGTCAAAACATTTAAATCGCACCCACTCATCACCTTAGGAAATAATTTTAATGTTAAAATACGTAATTTCCTGTCAGCACAACTATCCATATTACCTGTGAAACCAATTTCCCAGGAGAAACTAAATTTTTGATTTAAAAATTACCTTCGTGTAAGGCATCTGAAAATTAGCTTATAAAAAACAAAATCCTTAAAAACCTATCTCTTAAAACCTTAACGTTTCTTACCCATATTTATAATGGAATATTTCGATTGTTAGACTTCCTCAAAATTTGGAAATTCGCTGTCATCATACCTAAACACCTGTTCAAATCATACCGACCAATAAGTTTACTCCCCGTTCTAGGAAAACTTTTTGAAAAGGAATTTCTAAAAAGTCTACGTTTTATTTTCCAAAATAACCATTTAATCTCAAATGACCAATTTGGATTTAAAAATAGGTATTCATCTATTCACCAAATCTATAGCCTTACCGACGAAATCTCAACTGCCCTAGAAAAATAATAATACTGATCAGGACTCTTTTTAGACATCGTTCAAGCATTTTATAGAGTGTAGCATGTAGGTCTTCTATACAAATTAAAACACTACATGCTCGCTCCATACTATTTCAATACAAAACTAAAAAAGTTTACCGGATCAGAATATGATAGAATATAACAGAAAATGTTATAAGCGTTAGAAAATTATATTTTGATTTTTTTGCGCTGCTCTGGTAAACTTTTTTAGTTCGCTGGAAAGAGCAACTTCGTTATATTACATTTTTAAATCTTACATAAGTATACATATTGAAATGTTTATCAACTTTAACTACCAAAAATATGCAAATTTCGTGATTTTTATCAACATTTCATATTCAAATGCTTATTTTTAAAAATTGTGACTGCGGGTTTTTAAAAATTTTTCATTGTATCAAAATTTCAACATTTTATGGCCAACTAACATTTTTTTACTGACGTTATACAAAAAAAAAAATAGGATAGTGGAGAAAAAAAATATTTTATTCATAGTCTACTGTCTACAAATATTAAATAATTAAATATATATAAAAGAAACCATAATTTTTTAAATATCATCAAGTCGGCAAATTTAATCAGTTGAAATGACGCCCCAGATTTTTACTATAAAATAGACAAATTTATCTTCACAGCGACATTGAATGCAACGAACACTCCGAGAATTATACAGCCGTTCATCATGTGTCTCTTATACTAAGGTCCAAATTCGGCTTTGGATTTGGGCTTGTTGCAGTGCACCGGTAACAAGGTTTTCTTGGACATCGGATACGCGATCGTGTTTAGGGTGATCCGACGAGACATGTTGGAATTTATGTACCACGTCACTTTCGAGTTATCCATCGTGCTTAACATACATATGCATACGCACTTAAGTCGTTATTAAGTTAGAAATGTTGAAATTAAATTTTGACAAGTACGTGTCTCATTTCAAGATATTGTCAGTCATTTTCTCTTTTTTAGTTCTCATAGTATATATAAATATACCTTAACGTCAATATACAAATATAGAATTACCAATAGTTTTTTTTTTTTTAATACTTTTAAATGATTTAAGTAAATTAAGTCGAAAATGACACAACAGACAACTGAGAGACACCTTCCACCCGTATGAAAATGTATTAATATATGTATATATATTTTTTCGTTACTTGGATTTATAAAATAATTATGATCTACCGAATGAAGATTACCCTCAACTTTCCCACCCACTAAAAATATA